CAAGAGGTTTGGGTTATGAACCAAAACTCTTTTTCATGTTCAGATCTTCTCCTCCCCAACATGTCCCCTGAGCCTCCGAGACTCTGAGATCCTTGACATAAAGGGTTTCCCAAAACCTGTTTCTTTTCCTTTCTTCTCCTTCCCACATGTATAATCCTAACTTTGGTGTTTCCTGATTTTTGAGTCTTAGTCATACCAAATAATGGCTCAACTTTGCAAACGCTTAGTTATGTGATTAACTTTGCTAATATGAGTAATTCCAATTAAATCAAGAGGCGAGTTTACATGCACAAAATTTGCTGTAAAAGGCATACTGCTCTTTTTGCATTTTTCTTATGGATTTTTTGAGCTTTTAAAAGCAATTAAGGACATATTCATGTTTAAACAGACACATATGCAAAGGATCAAAAAGTTTTTAAACAATCCGATTATTTTGCATTAATAACAAATCTTATTTTTCACATGTAAAGCTACTTTCTTGGGAGAATATCAATACACTTTGTGAACTGTTGGTTGCTTTACTAATTATAAACTTTTCCCATCAGTGGTGTATGTATTACCTAAAATATCCTCTGGTTTTCCCTTAGCATTATGTGAAAGAATGGCTGAGGGATTTAACATGCCATTATAATGTTTTCTTTGGCAATAATCATGCAACAAGACCCAGGACCTTGTAAAGCATAACAAGTTAGGTTTCTACAAAATTACCTTTTACTTAACAGGCCCAAATTCAAAAGTCATGCTGCACAGCCTCATGTGCAGTGTTTATATTAGAAATGTTATAAAACTCCTGAATATTTTACTGTAGTATAAGCCCTGGGGCTTGAATGCCTAGAGAACAGACAACTTATTAGGGAGGCTGTTGAAGAAAGAAGAACAGTGCAGAGAAGCTTGAGAACTCCAGACAAACTGAGCTGCCTTAGGGGAGATCTCTGCCAGCAACTATGAGCAAGAGAAAAGGACTGAAAAGCCCAGGGCTTATTTGCATTTCAGTTATATGACAGTTTGGGGCATTTCCATTAAAATACAGTTAACTATTAAAATACTATTGAGGCATCTTTAGGGTGGTATAGAGCTGAAGCGGTAATCTAGCAGCCGTTTTGAACTGAAACCAGACAGAGCAGACAGCTAGCTGAGGGACTGGGGTATGTTCCTCACAGCCCAGCCATCATACTTGTAACCACTTCTGCTAGGGCAGGCTGCAGAGCTTCAAGAGCAAGCCAAGGAGCATGTACTTTATTGGCAAGAGACAGACAGATTTTACTTGCAGACATGCTGGACCCTGGATAGCAAATTGCAAATTGAATGCATCAAAGGAAGAGAGGAGTTAAGTTGCTAGGGCAAAATCCTATTTCACCTGAATGGATGACCAATGCACACTTAAGCAACCAAAGTGATTCTATTACACCTTAAGGCTATGAGCATATACATTTCCCCATTATAAGAGCTGTATTGTCTCCAGAGGTAGGGACAGATGTCTTCTAATTCCTCTAAGGCAGGGCACTTACATGCCCAGAGGAAGTAAGAGAATTGCTTCTACACTCGGGATTGGTTGCAAGTTACACCTTGGTCGTCAGCTAGGTAAAATGGAATTCTGCCCCTAGTGTTAGAATACATTGCTCCATTAGCCACCTAAAACTGTGAAAGAAGGACTGACATTAAAGTGATTGCCAAGACAGCCTGGTGGAGTGGTAGTCTTATTTAATATACTGTCACTCTATTCATTGATGATTTTCCAAAGTTTATTCTTCACCTTCAAACCCCTATAACGTTTCATTGGTTTTAAAGTACTGAGATCAGTGTCTGTGAGTGGGGTGGCATTACCGCACTACCTGTGCAGAACAACCCATGCAGGTCACTGAAATAATTTAATTTAATTTCCCCATGTCCCTGGGAAAAGACATAAGCTAGCACTGTTTACATTTTTGGAAGAAATGCTAGGTCAAGGGTATCCAACCCATTTGGCCCCGTGGGCTGGATCTGGTTTGTTGGCTTTTTGCAGGCCAGATCGAGATCGTGAGTGAGTGGCAGTGACATTGCCCCTGTAGCTGGCTGAGCCACTGTGTTGGCATGGCGAGCACTCAGGTATTAATGCTAACCCTGCTCACCTCACCACTACTCACCATAAATTGTTCATCTATGAGAGTTAATGCCTATGAATTTCTGGCTTCATGGGCTTGATTCAGAGGTAGGTCTTCCAAACCATGAAAACCACTGTGGGACAGATCATCCACCTCCATAGACTAGATGTTTGATACCCTCTGCTTTAGCTAATTGAATATGGCTCTTTGTTTCTAACAAAATTTGACCAAAAAGTTTTAGTACCATACTAATTTCCCTGTTTCTACATTTTAGCCTGCATTTAGGCTTTTCATTAAATCCTTTCCTGTAGTGGAAAACTATTTTTTTTCTATTTCAAATTTTATACTTTTTGCTCTGTAGTTTTATTCCCTATATCTATCCTCAGCATCACTATGGCATCAGGCTGGTTTTTATGCATAGTTCCTGTTAGAGTTGTAACCCTTAAGGTGAAGTGAAAAAATGACCTTTAAAGCCCTGCCAAATGGAGGTCTTGGCCCTGTTTCTCAATGGGCTGTCCTCTAGTATTTAATCACTTGAGAAGCAACAGCTTCTAGTGCAGTATTTGTCACATGCTACAGGGTACTGAGTACAAAACAGCAATTAATCAAATAAAGTCAAGCTAAAATCAAATATAATAAATGTTTTTTGGAAGGAATCTTTCTTGTTATTGATATTTTACAATTTTCTTGTGGCAAAGCTGAGATTCTCAAGTTTTTCTGTAGTACAGGCAATATCTTACCAGACAGGATCTTCCAGGACTACTTCCCCCTCCCAATTCCTCATATAATCTTGTCAGTGACATGACATTTTATTTAAACTATAACAACTGTGTTTGTTGAAAATGGTATTAGGAAAGTATTTATTTCATGCTGTCTCTGATACGATACTTATTTTCCTTTTAAAAAATACAAATCTTGTAATATTGTTTTTCATTTCATCTTCAGTATTCATTTGCTCTATCTATCTTCACATGCTTAACTGCTTCTCACTTGATCACCTTCTTCTTGCTCTCCAGAGCAAACTGTTCACTCCTTCCTCCATAGATAGCTTCTTTGTCCATCCACTCCTAGAAAATATTGATTACCCACTGGGCACCTTTGGACGTGTTGTCTAGGCACCAGATCTTTCTCCCTTGCATGTGTTGCCCTGCTCTCCTCTTTCCTGATTTTGCTTTTATTTGAGTTCCACACATGCCTGGCTGGCAGCTTCTGAGTTTGATTTTGGAGTCTGATTTGTGCTGTCTTCTTGGCTTACTTTGCTCCTCATGTATAATAGCATTCAAAAGAGAAGTACTTTCTTCTTTCCATTTGTAGTGTGTTTTTTTAGGTTTTTTGACTACCTTACTCCTTCCCATCCCATCAACAATACATTTTTAGTGAACTATACCAACATCTCCACTTTTGGCTTCATTCACCACTCCGAATCCATGCTCAGAATAGCCCCCAAAACCAACAGAAAAGCAAAGAATCAGCAGTGATGATACAAACTTAGATGTCATCTATATGGACAAGATAACTGGAGTTGGATTCAGAAAGCAGGTGGAACGAAAGGTTAATAATGAATGGGGGAAAACAAGATAGGGTAGGCATATAGGATAGACCTATCAAATCTGTGGACCATGTTAAAAAAAACCTGTCAGGGCCTAGGTGTAGTGATTTTTGTTTTAGTTTGGAACTCAAATTCTTGCAAGTTCTTTCTCATTCACCATTTATGACACCATGTAGTGATCACTACATTCAGTAAACACAGATATATATGAATAAGAACTAAAAAAAATGAACTGTATTGTGAAGAAGTAGGCAACATCTGCAGACCCTTGGGCTCTCTCTCTCACGAACTAAATCACAACCTAATGGAGGGATAATCTCCCAATTCCCAAGTCTTCTAAATTAGGGAGTGTCTCTAAAAATGATCACTTTTATCACTACACTAAGTAGAAGAAAAGTTAAGAGGCTGATGTTTTAAATGTATCAGTAGCTCTGCTGATAGTTTCTTATTGTTTCCTAGGTTTAAAAGCAACTAAGTAAAAATGATACTGTGGGATGATAAATAGGATTAGAGGAACATTAATTTTCAAGAAAGCTTTGGGTGGAATTAGTCCAAACCTGAGTGTTATAGAGTTCAGATTTTTTTTAACTTTTCATGCTTCTTTTTTACAACCTGTTTGTTCTGGAACAGAATGGAAGAATATACCAAAGGATGCTTTTATTATCATATTTCTGGTTCTGCCAGAATAGGTAAGTAAAAGAAACTTAAAATGGAAAACTGTTCTAATTAGATTTGCATCCATATTTTAAGACTAAGTGGGTGCATCTACACTGCAGAGTTGACTAATTAGCTCCTCAGTAAAGTGAATCAGTCTACACATGCACCTGCATTAGGGCACAGTGAATTAATTAATTCCACCATAGGATAGTACTGTCCAGAACAGTACTGTCTACAGTGGAGTACTTATATGCACTGCAGTGCACATATAGACTATGACAGGGGCTGGCTGGGGCATGAGGATGCTACAGCATGGGGGCTGCCTGCTGCCTAGCCCCACACTGTAGCACCTCCATGCCCCCGCCAGCCCCTCCACCACCTGATGCCTCCACTGGGAGCCTGAGACTGACCCCTTAGACCTCCTGACAGCCTGGGGCTGCACCCTGGCTTGAATTGCTGCAGTCCTCGGCTCACATGTAAACACTGCACCTGTGAGCAGTTTTCTATACTTCAAACTGCACCTGAGTTTATCACTCTGGCTTAATTGCACATGTAGATGCACCCAATGGGTGTGACCAGCTTTAGAAAAAGCTTCTTCCTAAGAGCCTGCCATAGCTGGTTCTGGATTTGTATGTGCACTGATATCTAATATATCAAATGCATCTAATGTATCTTATTAAGCTTCTTGGTTTAATCAAGGCTTGCTTTCCCAGGAAATCTCCAGGACAAGAAGGAAACACAGTGATGTTTTTAATATTATCATGAAGTGGAGTGAGGACCAGGTTAGTAAGCAGTATCTTGAGTCTTTAGTTAAATCTAAGTGCCAGCAGTATAGCAGCTTCCAATTGACTTTGCCAAAAACTAAGTCTCAATAAAACTTGACATTTGTGGCTAGTCCTATGTTTTAATACTACAAGTTTTACCAGCGTCTATCAGACTCCACCAAATCCATTTTTGACACCTACTTCAAGTAAGTTTGTCACAGTCAAGTATCTCAATTGTACTTGAGGAAAAAGGTTGGTTCACAAGTCAGTATTCCTAATTAACACAGTTGACCTTTTCAATAGTATCCTCAAAATTTTAAATGCCTTCTAATTACCTGAAAGTTTACCAGGAACTTTTGAATAATGTATCAAATGTTTTTGAGATTTTTAGGTATTTAAAACACAGAATTAAATATGCTCCAAGTGCAGAGCATAGTTCTGAAGGCACAATTTTCCCAAGAGACTGTTTTGTAAATTGTAAAAGCAAAGTAAATCACCAAAAAAAAGTAGTAGTCAGCAGCCATATATTAGCTACAGAGCCATGGACTATCATACGTTATCAGTGACTATTAAGTGGGAGACATGCACACTACACCTGGCACTTGTCTGCCAGTTGTCTTATTGTCACCAAGATCGATGCTTGTTCACTGTTTTGAAAATACTTCAAAACACCATTACATTTTGGCAGACAAAAGGGCTTAGTTTTGAAGCTGCGTGGGTGTGGAAAAAATGAGCAAACTCATATGTTGCGGACTAATGATTGGTATGTTTGTTTAGCCAGCAAACTATATATTATTTCACTAAAGTGTGTATTTTGTCATTTCTCTCATTTTGAAATATCAAGGAGATGCATTATGCTTAAAACATCCTGAATCACAGTCTTTGAAATGTTAACACCAACATTTGAAAGCAAGAACTTTGTCTTTTCATTAGGACTAGCTGGGAAACAAGAATGTCTTTCCTCCAAAAAAAAATGTTTAGTTGTTTTGCAAGGGCTGGGGTGTTTTGTTTTCTTTATTTTTTATTTTCTTTTTTTTGTGAAAGAGAGAGAGAGAGAGTCAGAAATGAAAAGGGCCAACACATCAGTACTTGAAGTGTGGTAGACCGCAGTTCAAGTCCTTACTGAAACTGGACAGTCTCTCTGCTCCATGTTTTAGATGAGAAATTCCATGCTGGACTTGAAAAAGTTTTGTCAAGGCTGATGCGTTTCAGATGAATCAGCATTTCAAAAATATCAAAAAAACCTTCAAGTAGCTCTACTCTTCACCTTCTTTATAAACCACAACTCTGTGAAATTCATGCTTATTATCACACTGCCTGGGTTAACATTGATTGTTGTCTAATCAGAGCTTGAAGACAGCAGAGAGTCATATCTCTTGACTGTTTTGCTCTTGGAAAATGGATTTTTGTTGCTATTTGAACATCAACTTGGTTATTTTTTTTCTATATAGCAAATATCAAACTTTATCTTATCATATGAATAACAGAAAAGACTCTTGGCTACCTTGGACCATCTGGCTTTTACTTTAAACTGAAACAGATACTGCAACTGATCCAAAGCAGTTTTTGTTCAATATATTTTTCAGACAGCATACTATACTGTATAGAGCTGCTTGTAGAGTGTGTATAAGCAATACTCTTACACTCAGGGGTGAAATCTTAACCTCACTAAAGTCAGTTGGATTTTTGCCATTAACTACAACAGGACCAAGATTTTATCCAAGATTTCCAGTGTGAATAATTACACATAAGAATTCAACATTCATTTCCTGCGAGTGGTCTGTGATAGCTGCTTAAAGCTGACTGTTTTGGTGAATAACTTCCAGCAAACTTATTTATTAGATTATTTACAGAAAATAAACCATGATGGTTGTGAACACCATAAAGTTCCCTTTAAAATTCAGGCTACCACTCATTGAAGCAGTGAAAGTCTTTTTTTACTAACTTCATTAATATCAGGCCTACTGAGAGACAAAGAGTTGAGAAAAAGAGTCTTGGTTTGGTTCTGCCTTAGGAAAAATTCCAGCATTAACGTTGGCAAAGTATTATGAAGCCATTTGCTGCAAAGTGCTAGATCAGTAAAAAGTATTAGATGATCATTATGAAGCTTGGAAAACTAGACATACAATATATGCCTGATAAAGTTGAGCAGTAAAGGTAAATTAATTAATTTTAAATCACTTGTTAATGTTATTAGTTTCAAGTACTAATTTAATGTGGTACTGTCTTGATCTTTCTATAACAACAAAAGGAAAAATAACAGAACAGGGTTGGGGACACATCTTTCGCACAAAGACTGTAGTGAATTCCTTGTAGAAATGTTTTTGTGAGGCTCAGATATGAGCATAAGCCCTGCATCACTAGTCTTCCCTGGTTTTTAAGAGCAGAGAGGTCTGCAGGAGCTGCTCTCATAGGGGAAGTCTTAGACTTCTTCTACCTTCACTACAAGCAGAAGATCCAGTTGCTTCTAGGGAGAGGGAAAGGTGCCAGGTAGCTTCTGTGAAACTGCTTGCCTGTCCATTTGTCTGAGTTTTGCCTTCCAGCTTCATCAGTATTCTGTTTTGTTAAGCATCAGTGTAAGAGGGCTCTGGCAGAACGCCATCTCTGTCTTTCCCCAAATGCTGCTATCAGGTGGGTGACCATTCTGACAATTTGGTTACCGTGGTCACTGCAGAGGGCAGACATCCCTGGCCCTATCGGCTTCAGGTAACCTTGAGTTGTAACCTGAGCTGGATACATTCCTGATGGAGGGGGAAACCTGCTCCCTCTGCCTACGTGACTGGCCTCATACATCTGGGTGGGGGCTTCAACTCCCTATTGTTCTAAGCAATGTCATCATGACTGGGAGGGGTCTAGAGATCCTGCCAATCTACCCAGCAACCAGTGATGCATTTCAAATTGGTTGGCTGGCAGCAGACAACTGCTGACGTTCATTGGATCAGGTAAATGAGGTCATAAGGTCTATATAAGTTAAGGACTGCCCAGGAGGCAGGGTAGCAGCCATGATGAGAATCTCAGAGAAGCTGGACCATCTGAAACTCTCTCTCTCTCTTGAAACTCATGGTCAATGAACTGCTTGCCTCCAGACGAAATCTCCACCTGCCTCTGGATGATACGTGTGAGTAAGCTACTTTAGATCTAACTAGATATATAGCTTGCAGTAACACAGATGCATACTCAAAGGCAACCATGCCACTGTTTGCTCTAAGGGATTTTTCTGATATTGCTCTACCCTGTACCCTATTCCAAACCTACTCCTTGTAACCAATAAAGTTCTCCTTTGTACCTAGCATGGGAGACTTATTGGGAGAGAGCCTAGATTATGCCTTGGGGTCCCCTTGGTTCTGCTGACAAAGGGAGATCACTATTTGTGCTTCAGACTGAGGGAAGTACCCCAAGTTCTTGCAGTGGGCCAAGTACCCTCAGGGACTACTAGGCCTGTGTTTCCCAGGGGGCACAGGGCCAAATTCAATCCAGACCCCGGGTGATGGCAACGTTACCCCCAGGCTTGCAGGTGTGCTCCAGGAAGGGAGTCAGCAAGATGTGAGACATCCCCAGGGGGCACTTGGAGCCTGGAAGGTGGTCAGGTACAGTGGGGTGGGTGGCTCAACACAGGAGCACCCCATACTGGCCCGCCACAAGGGCCAATAATCTGAGCAAAGCCAAGAGAGGCAGATGATGTGGATACTCATATCCACAAGTAAAACAGATTTGATGAAGGGCTGAGATGAAACTGGAGTTGCCCAAGGAGTATGCATATAGAAGGGAGGGCAAACAGGAAGAAAAAGAGAAAAGCCTAAAAGGAAAGTGGTAAATAGCCCAAAAATATGAAAGGACTGTATGGAAACTGGAATATTGGAGGACAGTTTAATCTTGTGGAAAAAATTATATAGTGAGCTGTCAGAAAGAACTTGATTGGGGAGCACCATAGGGAGATGGAAGCAGAACTTTAAGGTCTGTCCATAACAATCAAGAGATTACAGGAAGTTTCTTATCCCAATTATATACCTGTTGGCATTTATACATTGCATATGTGTTATAGGTAATGTTACTAAAAATCATCAGGGAGGAGGAAATGCAGTATTCCAAATTGAGCAGAAACCTGATGAATCTCCCAACCTGAGTATTTGTTTAGCATGGTAGTGTCCTGAGGTAGTTCCTAGGCCAGAGTATCTCCCAAGAGAATAGGAAACAAGGCATATTGTAGAAAAAATCTCTAAAATATGCTGGGGTCATTGTAGAAGTGGCCCACAACTGACTCTTTTTGTTTTCCCCTCTACAGACAGTTGCAGCCACTAAATATTGGGTTCAGCTAATCATTGTTGCAAATAAGAAATTGGTACATCACTGACAACATACCTACAGCCTGAAAAAACTAGAACCAATTTCTGTAGAAGACCAAGTCTGAGGCAGAAGGGTGGCAAATGAAAGAAATCCATTTTTTTCTTATCTTCAGGAAGCAGAACTCTATTATTTAAAAGCATTTACTTTTCCGATATCTCCTGAATCAGTCTGTATGCAAACAATATATAGAGAGTGTACTCGTTTACATATATTGTTAACAACATGTATCCAAAGGAGTTTTGTTGGAAAAAGTCTGAAAAAAAAAAATACTTTGGAGTAAAGCAAGAATTTTGCAGGGGACATAAAAATGTGGGGAGGTGGGGAGAAAAATCTAATGACACTACAAATTCATCTGAAATGATACAATAAAAAGAAATTTAAAACCATTCTGGATTTAGTTTCTTTACACATCATTAATATATACTGCCTCAAGTCACTTCAAATGAAGCATCCAAGCACTTTATCTTAAGTTAAAAGTTTGACTTGCTTCAAAGAAAATAAAAAATTGTAGAACAAAAAAAATTAAAATATTACATGTTAAACAGTGCTGAAATCTAGGGCAGGATGAATGTTGCAAGAGGAAATGGAGAAAGATACTGGATTGAAATTCATAGCTATCATTTTACAGATGTCATGTTACATCTCATATTTTCCCCTCATTACGGCTATTTGCAATGGCCTTAAATGTGCAAAATTGCTAGCAATGTTGTACAAATGGGCGATAATTTAGACTTGCAGCTACTTTCTGGTCTACCTCTCATCCTTTAAAAGAATTGTGCTTGTTCAGAGATCATAGATTAAACACTGTGCTATTCACTGTTAAGTTAATTCTACATCTTATAGATAAAAGTGGTTTTATTCAATACATTGCATCCTTTTTGTAAGGATAACTTTAAAAGGAGAAATACATATATAAGCTAAGATCCTAATTCTGCAATCTCAGTATTACTGGCAATAGTAATACTCTCAGTATTAGTATTACTCAGTAATACTCTCAGTATTACTGGTATTACTGGCAATAACTAATCACATATGTGTGATGATAGATTGGGGCCTTACTTTTTGTCATAACTTGTAAACTAATATCAAAGCACATGTACAAAATAGTTTTTACATACTCTATCAATTAAAATAAAAACACATATTAAGAAAAGATATTTCTCAGCATTTTTATAATAAAGCTTTAAACATCATAAATTTGTATAAAGAATAAATCTTACTCACCTTTTTGCTTTTTATTCAGTTTTTAAGTTAGAGGAAGAAGAAAATGCTATAGCTTTGAAAAGTCTAGATTTCTGGAAAGCATTTGCTGTAAGGAATATTAGCCTTAAGGTGTCTCACTAGAAAATTAATCTATAGTATCTTGAAGCCGAACTTTGTCATGTCACATGGTTGACAATGGGCTGAAGAACTATTTATGAAAGGCAGAGTAGTAGTAGCAAAACCAGAAGCAGAAGGGACATGAATTGGCTTATCACTGAGAATAGTACTGGGATAGTGCTTAATACCTGTAGAAACATTTATCCCCTGAAACATGCTGTGACCTACACATGTAATTAGTGTGATCACTCCAAAAAGAGAAGCGTAGGCTCTCCTGTAAGTGATCTTTACATGGCATAAAAAGGAGCATATACATGATATATAGCCTTTCCTAGTGCAATTTACTTAATTACGCTGGAGAAAAAATTAGGATTAAAATTATGCTACTGCATCTCAAGGTAGCTTGAGATGTTTCCTTTGTCATCTCTACCCCAATAAATGTGTATGCTAGGGCTGTGCGAAACAGCACCGTTTCATTCCAACTTCCATTTTGCCATTTTGAAGAGACAGCGTTTCATTTCAATGTTTAATTTCATTTTGTTTCAAAGCACTGTTCCCTTTTGTTTTGTGTGTGTTAAGGCACAGCATTTTTCTATCCCTCCCCCAGAGCACTGGGATTGGAAGGGACCTCAGGGAAGGATCACAGTCACTGGCCAGCTACACATGTCAATACACATGTCAATAAGAGAGCAGTTCTTCCCCTCTCTTCCCCCTCCCTCTCCTTACTTTCTTTTCATTTCCCCCTCCCTTTCCTTACTTTTGTTTCATTTTTATTTTGCTGTTTTGAGCTCAAAACGAGTCAAAACAGCATTGAAATGAAACACCCGAAGAAATTTCGCACAGCCCTACTGCATGCCATGGAGAGTACTGAATAAGGGAAAGGTTACACAAAAGATATCTAGTTCAATGCTCACCCTTTAAAGTACCCATTTCTATCAGAGACAGAATGGTAGCTAGCTGAACCATTGGTCAAACCCGGTATGGCACTTCTTATGTTCTTTAGCAATTTGCTCAAGACAAACAGACCATAACCTATTACCCTGTCTAGTTTAATTTCCATGGCTGTACAAAACAGATCCATATTACATTTGTATAAATGTGTCACGTGTCCAGGTCCCAATTAAAATATATACATGAATATTTAGTATTGTGTTGTTACTAAATAGGAAAGTGAGCTAAATACCGACAAAGCAATTATCTTTTTTTTCTGATTATATAATTTCATCTACTCTACCAGAAACTAGTCTGTAATCAATTTTAGGGCAAAATTTTTGTTGCTTTTTTCCCCCTTTTGATACATTTTACTTTACCAACTGTCTAGCTAGCAAAGACCTTTTAGGCAAAAGTACCCTTCTTCAGTTGTTCTTCTTCAAATAAATTTTGGGTTAGGACTTTTTGTATAATCCACCATTTAATTTTAAGAAATGAAAAAATACCTGATCAGAGAGTCTACATGCTGCAGTCATACAAGCTTGACACAATCAGGGTTCCAGCCCAAGAAAGTTTTTTATTCAAAACCTGCAAACTTTTTACTGAGACTCAAACTTTTTTTACTTACACCTGCTTTTACTGATATATGTTTTATATAATGTAAATGTAACCCTTTTGCTAGGCCCTGGACAGAAGGGCTGGTTTCAAATTTAGGGATTTGATACCAGCTGTACTAAAAAAGTCTGGTTGTCAGTAAACATTCTTGCATTGGCAACCCTGTTTGACTGCAGAAACCCTGTTTACACTGTGCTGACCCTGTCCCCCAGGGATCTCCTATTCAACCAGATGCCCCCAAGTATACCCTGTACCATGCTGCCCTGACCCCCCCTCCCCCTCCATCCCTCAACTTGACCTTGTCCCTGGACTCCAACCTGCCATCTCTGCCTCCCTCTCATCCCTGGAGCTCTTTCCCAGCTCTACAACTTTTCTCCCTATCCTGCCCAGCTTGGGACCACATGTTCTTGCATACTTTTGAGGTGAGCACTGCACAGCCATTATAGGTAGAGGATGGCAGGACATACAGTGGTAGCTCTGCAGACTCAATGAATTGAGCCTGCTTGACATCACAGCATGTTTATAGGCACCCTAGGTGGTGCTGCTCTAGTCACTCTGTCCATCAACACTTGAATCTATCCTCATTCCAATGGCAAGGAAGGATATTCAAATGATCTCATTATTCCTTAATTTTTATGGACTTCTCCATTTTTAATGGACTTCATGGACAGGCATTTACAGACATTTGGCAACCCTGGACACAACATATTGCAAACTGAACTAACATCAAACATTTTTGCCATTTTGGGATTTTTCTGTATGATATTTTAAAGAAAAATGGGTTGAAAAGCTGTAACAATTTAGAAAATGATGGTCCTTTTTTTTCCCTTCACACACAGGTAAAATCAAATATTTATGTTGATATGGTACTAGGTCAGTGACAATTAACTTTTGTTAGAAGTACAGCAACCCCATCCAAAAGTCTTTAATAAAACTTTGCAGAAGTACTGAGTGGAAGGATAATTTTTTAATTAGAGGCAGGGAGAAATATACACCTTTTTTATTGGAAACTTTTTCTCAATATGCACCTCATTGCCATTTAGATGTACAGGTAGTTTAAAATACCTTTCAGGAAAAATATTGTAGTATTTTAAGCAAAAAGTTATTTGGAAAAAGTAAATGTTAAATAATGAAGAATTCATATGGAATAAGCTGTGTCTTATGTGACAAAATTTACAGGAATGTTTGTGCTCTGAAAGGTCCCATCTGCTGTCAGTATAGAAATTAGCTTTGCCACTGCCTCATACTATTTATGACAGGAACGATGTTTACCCAACCTAGCTTCCATAACAAGTTTTACCTGGGCCAAATGATAACGTAAGTTGGCAGTGGTGGAGCTATAGGATGCATGGAGGGAATGTCCTTTAGAATTTCAAAAAATGATTTAAGCCCTGAGTTGTTGTTTTTTCTGGTGACAGTTTCACCAGTAGTAAAACCAAACATTTTTATACCTCCTGGCTTTGGAACTATAATGACACTCAATGTTCTGTTACTGGAGCAGCATTATCAAAATAATTCAGTTCTGAGAAACAGCTTAACTATGAGTTTTTCAAGCGAGTCTGCAGCTATTTTTCTTAAGGCTTTCTCCCCCACTCTATGTCTGAATGTGACCATGAGATTCAGGATGAAGAATATTCTTACAAATAAAATATAGAGAATAACTGAGGCAACAGAAAATTGGAAGTGATCCAAGCAAAGAAGCCAATGGAGCTGCTCTGATGAAACCTACAATTATGTTCTGAGTGAGATTGTTAAATTACAAGATTATTCTGCTGAATACATTCCTATTTTGACATATGTGAAGCTAGCCTGAAGTTGGATTGGTGTCTGTCAGTGAGCTTTATCATTTCCTGAGCTGCACCTTACACATAGACTAGAAATAGTTGTCGCCAAACAAAGCAGATCAGCTGTGCCTTGATGTGTTGCAGCAGGGCTGTTCCGCTCTATTGGGCAAAACACACATTGTCCCTTGTCCCACCTTTGATGGTGTGGGACAAAATGCAACGTGATCTCCCTGCTTTTCTTGCTCAGCCAGACCCTGGGGAATGGGTCTGGCTAAGTGGGGAAACGGGGCTTTCTCGCTAATGGAGAGGCACCCTGAGATTCTCTGGGGTACCTCTCTTTAAGTGGGGAAAGTAGGCAGATGCTCTGG